TTTATTGGAGCTCGGGATGCCTATTTTACCGCATTTACTTGTTCCCAACATCTTCAACAATCTACGAAATCTTCCACTGCGATCGCTGGAAAGAAGCTGCCAAAGTGGAAATCACATACTTCAACGCTATCCAGCGGACAAAGCAATCCTACGTTACGCAGCTACGACCGAACATTCCATTCAAACACCAGTTTTTCACGCTCACACTTAGCTCTATAACAGTGCCACCGATTCCCAAACTCAACACACTATTTATATCCGACGGAAAGCGAACTACAATCTGGAACTCCCATATAACGTCACCCCTTAGATGCGCGAACCATGCAGCAGCGGAAAACCTTAACTGCTCGATGGAAAGCGATTGCATCTGCTATCCAGCGGAAACAGAGGCTAATTGCAGATGTGAAGATGTAAAAATAGCATCATGGTTCAACAACGTGCAAAACAGGCTACCGATAATCCTCCCTTCGATATCGTTCCAACAAAACCAAGAAGGAGAACTCACCGCGAAAGTCCTCAGTATGACAACAGCAGAAGTGATCCTCAACATTCGGAATAAACTCGAAACCAACATCGTTGTAGATAAAGATATATGTACTGTGGACGATACCGTACTACAGGGATGTTATCGCTGCCGCAAAGGTTCAAAAGCACAGGTCCGATGTAAATCATCAAGACCTATCCAAGCAGAAATAGCATGCTCTTCAGCGACCTTCTCAATACCGTGCAACAACGATAGACCACCCTCAATACTCCACTTTAGCTTCAGCCACGCTAGAATCGACGAAAAATGTACAGTCACATGCGGATCCACACCTAGTACTTTCGCAATAAGAGGTCTACTAAAATTTACGAGCGTCACTAATGGCTTAGTAGATACGTGGCTGAAAGGACAGGCAAACACGGATTTTAAACTCCAATGGCCAGACTTCTAGCACATAGCCGACATATTCATGAATTACTATAAAACACTTATTGCTGTCTCTATTCTTCTAATTATAATATTCCTGCTCACCTACGCATGTCTACCTACTTGCACAATCCAAGGCGGATTATTTATGTTGAAAGTAATCAAGTTATTTTTACGAAATATCGGCAGACTAATTTGTCTCATCAGCCTAATTCCATGTAAAAAGTCAACTCCCTCGCACACCAAGCTACTGTAAATCGCTCAACATATGGCATATTCCAAACTTCTACTCAATCTGCTCTACTATTCTGCTCTACTATTCACTACCGTACTTTCTCCATACAATGCTGTAACATAATATTAATAAACAATCCCAGATGTCAACCAAAATGGACAAGGCTACTCAAACCCCACGAGCACCAGAGAAAGACGCCACCACACAAACACCGATTAAAGCATTTCTCCACGCAGCTACACAAACCGGAACCGACAACACCAAGCCAATTACCAGCACTGCAACTCAAACGAGACGTTTCCACCCTACAGAACAAGCCCACGTCGCGATACAAACACTGCTTCACAAAGTGCCAGGCCTATCTTCAAGGGCGACTCAAACGGCTTGACTCTTCCCCGAACACTGATTCCCTGCGCTCTTCCGAGGCGGCGGGGGGAATATAGAGAACATTCTTCACGAGTATTGGAATGTTCTCTATGTAAATCAATTATAACCTTTCCAAACAGTTCAAATGCTTCTCCCATGACCTTTCTCCACTACGATCTGATAACCCTTCCCAACATTTCAAATGCTTCTCCCATGACCTTTTCTCTATGACGATCTGATAGCCGTATGTCTAACATTTCGCTGGCGCCTATCTCGTAAAATATCTGCACTTACGGTCCTAGGCTTTGAATATCGCCCTATCAGATCGCAAGGCTTGTGAAATGCTCCCAGCACCCGTCTTTCTGCCTACTGTAGCCCAACTCCGCCTACTGTAATCTGACTCCGCCCAGCGCAAAGGTATGTAAACGGCTCCACGGTTAGCTAGCTCATGTCACAGCAATGCTGCCCAAGTCACCGCATTCGTGCGTCACATCCATCTCATGTAGTAAAAGTGTTATGCCAATCTCTTCACTCACAAGCAACCTGAACACCAGTGATCAGGCTGCGTCTATTCATTGCCCGTACCATCGTTGCATTAATTTATACTGTTGTACTGTTATGCCAATCTCTTCACTCATAAGCACCTGAACACCAGTGATCAGGCTGCGCCTACTCATAACCAGTATCATTGTTACATTAATTGTAGAGTTGTATTGTTATGACTGTTGTATAATTATGATAAACGGTTTAATTACCAAAGTTTGAGGTTTCCGGCATTGTGACTACCGTTTACAAGAAGTCCCGCGTGGCATACACAAAGGCGAGCAGCAAATTCCGACCGAATCATCTTAACTACTTGGTATTCCTATATAATCTAGCCGTCCCACCATACATTATGAGGTAGCACGGGGTCATATGATCAATGGTTTCTTAGATTATTCAGCTGACACGAGGTTGGTATGAAAGCTCTGAAGAAGATAAAGATGTCAAAATGCTAGCCGAATAAATATTTTTAAACAAAGCTCCACGTAATTGACCTAACAAACCATCCTTGCGGAAGTTTGATGAATGTCGGTTTTTAAGAGGTCATATGATCATAATCGAGCGCGCTGCATTCTAAGATTTCTCCACCAAGGTCTAACAAGGAAAGAGAAACTAAGCGAAATGTAAGCGTGTTGGAATAGCGATTGTTGCTCGCTTGTTGTCCGATCACTGCAGAACCCCGAGATTACTTCGTGAAGGAACTTAACTGTCACTCAAGTTAGGAAATGAGAGCTGAATCTCTCCCGTAGTATACGTGTAATTCGAAAGATATTTCTGAAGGGTGCTGAAGTGTGCACACTACTTAATGCGTACCACAGTAAGGCTCCGAAAACCTCGAGTGATTGATTTCATGGTTTCTTACATACTCGCTATGAACTAACCAGCCCGCTGCCAATGTGCATTTCAGGACGAGTCCCCATTGATCGTCCCCTAACCACGAGAAGGCCTGTTTATCACCATCAACCACGTCACAAATCATGTGTTTTAAAAAGGCTAACTTTTGCCTATTTTATCACTTCATGAGAAGCAAAAATCACATGACAGTGACTCAGAAAGCCACTTTCCGAGAGAATATTGATCGCTTCTCTCTATCATAATAGGAGCAGATTTTTGCTCACTGTTCACCTCCCAACATCCTCGTTCTGAGCTACGAGTGTAAGATTTCCTTACCTTTAACGGTGCCATCCGCTTTCCCTTCAAATAAGTGGAGAAATAACAGAATAAGAACAATAGTTGCACTAACCTAATCTAACTAATAACCTAATGTCTTTCTTCGAATCTTTAACCTTTCTGGATCACGAGACATCATACATCCCTCCGATTCATAAATGTCAAAGGTCCACTACGACGAATTCCCTGCGAAATCACTCTCCGCAGCATAGGTTGATGAGGAAACACAATAAATCTCAACTTACAGCCAAGGATATATACAACCTCGATTGCCACTATGGCGAACGATTGCAGCACAATGAGCCGAATACAAGACGTGCTAGAACACCTATTCGAGCACATCCGAATGATACGTGAAGACGGGTCGTCTAATTTAGGTGTGTCTTTCTTCGCAGAAAAACCCTCAGATTTATTGTTCAATAAAACGCAAAATTTTTTTATTTAATAGATTTCTATACAGTACAGCAGAAAGTAGTGACAGAACATGAACATATTTAAGGGCCCAATAAAAAAAAATACATACATCATTGTTATAAAGTGGTGACGACAAAAGCAAACAAGCGAAGTGCGAACAAATCTCTTTGCAAGCATTCCGCTACTGGTGTGTGCACCGACTGTTGTTCGCCTTGCTCCCTCCCGGACTGTCAGACAACTTAGTCGTTTTATTTAATCCTTTATAAATTGCCGTCCGCAGTGTTCGATTTGGGGTGCCTGCAGCTTCTATGACAGATTCCTATGAATAATTTTTATTGATTTGAATGCAGTTTCAATTTACGCAGTGGAAAATTCACTAGAACAAAGTTAATTTGTTACTTATGAAGTCTCTGAAATGTAAGATCTGGAAAAACAGAAGGAAAAATGTCTACTAAGGAATAAAATAAGATGACATGGCAAACGATCAATGAGTATTACAAAGAACTACGAGTGAAGAAAGCTCTACCTCGTATTCAGGGGTTTTTTGCGAGATACTCTATTGCCTCGTTACTTGCACCACGTCGCAGGAAGATAATATTTGTAGCAACCATTTAAAAAGGTAAAGACCAATACCATGTAACCAAAGAAATCGAATGTCATTAAAGTCAGTCAAAATCAGAGGAATGGAGTTCCCAAAAACAACAAATTTTCGTAAATTTTTGCACTATTTCCCCTTGAAATCGATGTGTTGGTCCTTCATGTCTAATAAACATACCTCAATAGCGGGACCAGCCGATACATTATGTGCATCCGGAAGCAATTTCTGGGAAGATGATGCAACCTGAATATTCTTCTCTGAGAAATTGCACGAACTTTTAGCCAAGCTTATAAAATCGCTCTAACACTACCTTAATGCCATCTCCACACATATCGCTTGAAGGAACGCAAACGCTGAAAATACGAGTTAGGTCTGCACCACTGGAGTTTCCAAATAATGACTACATTCCAAACAACTTACGTGGAACTGGAAGCATTCATTGAAGAACTAGGTGTTTTCGAACTGTTTGACGAATCACCTCCTCTAAGAGCGGCAACTTGTTTTTTAAGTTCGGTTATTTCGTTTTTCATCCTCTCTTCAGATTCGTCGGCCTCATCACATATCTAAAGAGTTTCCAGGTAGCTAAAAGTTCAAAGTTACAGTGCTCAGAATTTCACGAACTTTAGACACATTTTAAAAAAACAGTCGCAGAAAATGTTACAGCAAACTTCATCAGATTTTCAATCCTTTACAGACCTTTCTTCATTTTCTACGACCATTGTAGGTTATTTCTCCTAATGGTTTACCGCCTCATAGTGGCTAGGTGTTCCTGGGTGTCGGGTTGCGATGTACAGCGGGGAGATTCTTCCTCCATAAAAATCTCCCAAGCTGAGGAGTTCGGCGCACCCATCAGGAAAAAGCTAAGAGTAGACCAATACCAAGATCCACCACCGTCCTGCTATTAAACTGGTCGCATGGTCACAAATCTCCCTCTGATCCACAAGGGCGGCGACTGCCTGTGGTGGCAAGGATCTGGCGCAGAGTTTGGCTAGGCTAACCTCGGCACTCCAGAGAATCACAATGGTTAAGCCAACAAATCTCAGGAGAATAGAAATTATACTGGGCCCCGCAAAACCAGTGAAGACGGGCCCTCCAGGTATCCAAGTAATGTAGGTTTTTGCAATTTACAACACGAAGGAATGATGACATTACCAGTCAATTCACCTTTTCCAACTCAGTGATCCTCCGCTCTTGCAAAGAACAGCGTCGTCTTAGTTCTTGAATCTCGTTGGTTACATCTTCATGTTCTCTAGACTTTAACTGAAAACGACTAAATAAATGCAATGGTTAGCTTAGTATACTCTACCAGTACAAGAGTACAGGATAAACTAAAATCAATGCTTTACGTTCAAAGATGGCTACAATAAGCCATCATTGTGAAGAAGTTAGTATGAAATACAAATATGAAATACAAACGATCTGACCGAAATCAATGTTAACTTAAAAGATGCTCGTTCCCTGACTAAAGCACGCACGAGTGTTTTGAAGAAAATCTGTTCAAATAAGGACAATTTTTTTTACAAAAAAACGCAATGTTGGTTCTAAAAACCACGTTCATAATAGTTCAAGGACGACAAAAGATAGATATTCACACATTTTTCAACTTATTTGGAATTACCTAACCCTTATGGACTACCCTTGTTCAGCTGACATGAGGTTCTTAACACGTATCTTAGAACTTCAATGGTTAACGCTTCGCTGACACTGCCCTTATAGAAGGAAGTCTAAAAAAGACGGAAACGACTCACGCCTTCCTCAGAAGTTCTGGAGAAGTCGCCGAAGCACCACCCATCAAAATCCAAGGATACGCGTTAACAAACTCCACTCAGTTAAACAAGGATGGTTCGCAGGAATTAAATAAATTAACTACTGACGCTAATGTTAATTGAAAATAGGTCTTCGGAATTATTACTCAGAACGTAAGTATATAAACTTATTTTCAACCAAGAACAAAATGATAGATTTATTGGTTCAGAAAACATGAAAAAAAAGAGAAGGGTAGCCTACATTTACATCACAATTGCTGTGGCCAAATGACGTTTCCAGAGTCAACGCTTCCATTCTATAATTGGACCAGCACAATGAAGACCGGAACAATCGCTCCTACTTAGAGATGACACAGGCACTAAAAAAGACATGAACTCACCCTTCCGTAAATGCTACTTCCAAATTAGGATCCTCCGGAGATTTGAGTGCACTGAGTTGTGCTTTTAGCTGATCTCTTTCTTTGATCGCAGCAAAAAGCTCTCGCCGATAGTTATCCTCAATTTCATCGAATTCATCACATAACTGCAAAGTAAGACAATTTTCAGGATTGACTTCTACAGGTAAATGAAGCTCGCTCACCCCTGCTAATCGATCAATTTCGCGTGTTTTTATTTCGAGTTGCTTCCTGAGTTTCTTGAGTTCTTCATCGAAATTACTTGGTCTCTGAAGACTTAAGTGTTTTTAACGAAAAGCGTCTTCCAATGTTGGCGATTGCTCCATATAATTACACTTAGTAGTTACTCCAACCAAAAAACCTTTCTCTTCAAAGTTTTAAGCTCTTTGTTCTTGCTACTAAATCACTGATAATAACTAAAGACAACCTTTGCCGTTTGTTCAATGTGATCGGCGCTAGGAATAAGATTGGAGAGCCTTGCTTCTAACTGCTGTTTTTCTGCCGCCAGTTCTCCACACCTCTTGTGCAGCTGAGTGAGCTGCATATCCGCTTCGACCCGTGACGCTTTGCTTTCACAAATTTCCTGTTCCATTCGACATATTTCCTTCGTCATCTCTTCCAACTGAACAATCATAATAATAATTTATACTAAATTTATTGCAGTCGATCATTTATTACATAAGAGATGTTGCAGAGTTGGGAAAATGAGGGACCGGTCCTCCACAGATTCATATAACAAAAGAGAAAACTCCGAATGCTTAGCCGGTTATTCTAAAGATGTATTTAACTTCCTTAAAATATTTATTTTCGTCTCAATGGTTTGCCGCCTCAACGTGGCTTGGAGGTGTTCCTGGGTGTCGGACTGCGATGTACAGGGTCTCCCACGCTGAGGAAGCCGCCGTTTCCATCAGGAAGCCTAACTAAAAGCAAACCAATACCAGGGTCCACCACCGTCCTGGTATAAAAGTCACATGTTGACAAATACCTCTCTGATCAACAAAGGCTGCGACTGCCTGTATTGCTGAAGACCTGGGGCAGACTTTGGACAGGCTAACCTCAGGATTCTAGGGAACCACAATGGCTTAACCAAGAAACCTCCAAAAAATGGAGATTATGCCGATTAGATTAGACCCGCAAAACCAGTGACGATGGGCCATTCAAGTATCAAGTACCAAGTAAACTATTTCATTTTAGACATAGTCAAAATTCAACATGAAAGAAATTCCCTGCACAAGATACATTCTTTGAAATTTTTAAGACAATCGTTGCAACTGGCTATAATCAATGGATAATGATATTTAAGGCACCAAAGACACGTTCGTTATGCGATTATGAAAGACAGAATATAATTGTGGAATCAGCAGCAGTACGGCCTTCACATTAAAGATCTGTGCAAGCATTTTTCTTGAAGATTTATAACCAGTAGTAAATACATACCTTCAATCTTGCTAGATCTTTCTCAACAATTTGCTCGTTTTGAAGCTTTGCTAACTCTTGCTTCATTTCCTCAACAATCTGAAAACACTAGTAGACACATTATAAGTAGAACACAACGATGCTGAGATATTCGCAAAACTTGGACCCTGGGCCAGATCGGACCACCACTTCCCTTTCCTGGAGTTCGCACATTACACACTGCACCACGAAAGGCCCTTGCTCCGCATCTCTCTCAATTAGCTTTCTACCAAACGCTGGCATCAGAAATCACCCATGATAATACATGATTTAGCCCTATCTGAACGACAAACTCACAACTTACCTTTTGTGCTGTCTGAACTTCGAATGCATAGCATTTCCTCTGCTCTTCAAGTTCTACGTAAAATGTCTCCTTTTCTTTTTTAAGTCGCAAGTGTTCTTTTTCAAGTGAAGTGAATGCGTTAGCCGTCTGAACGAACAAGAAGGACTTCCATAAAAAATGGAAAGTGAAAAGAATAACACATGCAAAATTAGCAAACCTGCGCATTTGTGGCAATCTCAGCCTTGAGCTTATCATTTGCAGCAGCAAGTTCTTCACTTTTACTACGAACTTCCGATTTTAACATGTCTATGGTCGACTCTAGCTCCATCATAGAGTTCCGCATCTTTAAAAAAGCATCGTCACCGACAATCGCTCCAGTTCGCATATATTTTCAAAACTTTTCATTTTTTCTTACCACAATTTCTTAAAGCCATTCCACGCATTCCTATTTTTTTGTCACTTTTTTCATAAAACCCGTCCTCACGTCTACTGTGCGGATCCCAGCACTTCTCGCATTCGATTCATTTCCTCGCATCCATTACCCACGAAGAACTTCCAACTTTTACACGTGGTTTTGGCTATTATTTGAGGATTTTCATTTCATCTCGAATGAAGTAAAGTGCTCGTCGAGTCGATTCTCCCTGGAGTGCTGAGATTGCCGGGCTAGAGCATTCCCAATTAGATTGTAGAGAGCGATTTTTCCTAGGACAAGTACGGCATCAATATCCTGTTCCCGCATGGATGAAAAGCATTGTCTGCCAGAAGCGAATACGAACTAGCACCATGCTGGTGATGACCGACATCACTACCACTGTGCTATTCACCTCATCCTATTATGAAATGGTCAAGGAAAACCTTGTTAAATTCCGAAGTTTTCTCCATGTAATCTTCTTCCTGCTGGTTCAGTTTTTTCTCTAACATCGTCTTCTCTAGAACCAGTGCAGCTAATTCCTCTTTTGATTTGTTGAGAACGACGTTGACCTGTAATCATGCATTCATACTAGCAGGTTTCGTAACCGTGGAATATGGGAATAAATAAGTACACCTCAGCGAAATCCCTTTCCAGAATTCCTTTGGAATTTTCCGCTGCGGCTAATCTGTTGCACAGGAGTTCTCGTTCAGATAAACCACTCTCAATATCGGATTTGAGTGAGTCAATCATCTTAAATATGGCTTAATTTACTGAAAAAATAGTCCAAAAGGTAAAATTTATACGAAAAACAGCTTCCTAGAGTTCAATTCGAAATGCTTTTAGGCCAATTTCCCACTTCTTCGGCATTGGCAATAGCCTTCTCATGTCTTTCGTCCGCAACAACCATCTTGTCCTTCAGTTCGTCTCTTTCACATTGCAACAAATCGACCTGCACTTCAAGTTCCACCACTGTTGCAGCTAGCTAAAACATAAATTCATTACTTCTATGATAATCGACGCTATAGATGATGAACCTTCTTCAAACCTTCTCTGTCCTAGCAATGTAATCTTCATGTGATTCTTTCATTAACCTCACTTCGTTCTGCAGATCATCTTTTGCTTTCCGAAGGTCTGCTATTTCTGCTTCAGCTTTTTCAAGTGCTTCCATAGTCTGCACAAAATAGTACACAAAACTTTTTGACCCTAAGATTTTAAAAAAGCCTACTCTGTAAACGACCACATTATAAAATTATACTACAAAGATACAAAAAGGCAGGGACAGCACGAAATATTGACGCCAAAATAGTATTGTGTGGAGAAGACATAAAGCTCTACCTTTTCGTTCTTTGCCAAAGCTAACGTTTCCTTCTTCAGTTGCTCGGCAAGTTTGTTTTCAAGACATTCCCTTTCAACCGGGTATGCAGCTATCTGAGTTTCCAATTCAACTATACGCGAACGCAACTCCTAAATGAGAAGACAAATACAAAAAATTAACAAACTCTAGATTATGATAAGTTTCTAGACCTCCGTATGACACTTAGTATGGTTCAGTAGATCTTTTTCTGCAATACTAGCTCGAGTTTCTGCTTCTTTTAATGCGAAACTGACTTGCTCGATCGCCTCATTGCACGCATTTCTGAAGAAGAAGAGACGAACGATAACTTAGATTATAAAAGAGGATAAGATAAATCAATCATTAACTCACTTCTCCCGCCGTAATTGCTCAACTTCTCTGTTAAGAACATCATAACCCAATTTTTCAGCACAGAGTTGCTCTTGAAGAACAGCACACTTCAAGAAAAAACATAGGTTAAAATGTATACAAAACATCTGGTTAATATGATCAACTGGTGCGTTAGCTTCTTAAAGACTGGTAGCCTTCTTGGGGCTAGTTAAAATGTAGAGCGGAGTTTTTAGGTAGAAAAACTATGCGACATTTCCATTTCCCAAATAAATAATCACCAGCCAAATAAACATTGCGGTGGGTTTTAGATGATTCGTAGTAAAGAAGACGACCAATTCAGAGCTCTGATACTACGAGCACTATGTTGCTGAGATATTTGCAAAACTCTGGACCGCAGGTGTCTATGGTGGGGAACGAACGCGCTATTATCCTTTCCGGGGAGTAACGCGTTCACCACCACACCATGCGGGTCCTTTGTTTCGCACGTCTCTCAGCTATTTCTATTGATCTTTTTGCCACAGCAATCACCCGTCAGCGGGGTTGATCTGGGGAGCGCAAATCGGCATAGAACCCAGTTAAGCTATGGCTGTAGTTGAAATCACAATGTTTTAACGTTTTGTTTTCTGCCTTCTATAATTTTCATGGCAGGTTACTAAGCGAAATACAACCACAATGTTGCTGAGATAGAAATAGATAGCAGATAGATATTCTCAGCAGATAGAAATAGCTGAGAGACGTGCGAAACAAAGGACCCGCATGGTGTGGTGGTGAACGCGTTACTCCCCGGAAAGGATAATAGCGCGTTCGTTCCCCACCATAGACACCTGCGGTCCAGAGTTTTGCAAATATCTCAGCAACATTGTGGTTGTATTTCGCTTAGTAACCTGCCATGAAAATTATAGAAGGCAGAAAACAAAACGTTAAAACTACGAGCACTTTCAAAATTGGTAAAGCGATAAATGTGAAGGCGGTCTACTAACTGTTCACCAACCATCTAAAGGAATAGAGGGGTTGAAGGTAAGGAATATGAAGTGGAGAATTGGAACGACAGTGGCGTCTAGTCACAGTTTACAGTCCAACTCTACTTACGAATACAAATGCGCTTTTGTTGCAACCTACCTCATTCTTCAACCTCTCCACGGTTGCCTCGACTTGTTCAAGTGAATCCAATTTCACCCTAACGGTATTCAGTTCATTTTCGATGGCAGAACACTGTGTAGAAGCTTCTAACCGGCACTTCTCACTTTGTCTCAGGGCTATTTCAATTCGTTCCCGCTCATCCTAAATCGACACGCGACCTGTAGACAATGAAAACTCGAATTAAAAGATAAAATCAACATTCTTTCCACCTTAATGCTCAGTAATTCCATTTCGCTATTAGTATGTGCCTCACGGACCACAGCTATATTGTCCTCAGAAGCCGCCAACTGCTTTAATAAATCTCCAACTTCTTCTTTGGATTCCACCTAAATGCGTGAATACTACGATCAAATGAAGAACACGAGACAAAGTGAGTTACAACTAACCAGAGCGGCTTCAGTTTCTTTCAATTTCACTTGAATTTTCAAACATTCCCTTTCATTTGCATCGCGCAGTGTTATCAGTTCTATATCTTTCTCCTTAACCTACAAAAAAATTTTCATATACTAAAACGAGAAATAGTTCTTGAAATAAATTTCAAAAAAATGCCAACAACCTACCTTGTTTTCCAATAAACTCAACTTCGCTGCTATAGATGCAGCGTTTTCATTCGCAATGGCCAACTGAAAACACGAAATCTTTCCAACAACGAAGAAAATAACAAAAAGAAGAAGAAAAAATGATGAGAGGATCACTTCATTTGCATACGATGTTGCAGTAGATAAGGACAGTTGTAACTCCTATAAATGACAAAGTTTACTCGAAAATGGAGTGGAAGTATCTACGTCGAATCTTTAATCTATGAAGATTAAACAAAACCAGGAAATATGAATGTAATAAAAACCTTCGCCAATGTCTCACAACGCTCTTCAGCTGTTGCCCTCGCTTTTTCCTCAAGCAACAAACGCTCATTCACTACGAAGAGATCATTTTTCATAGATGGAGAGGTAACTGCTAGTTGTGACTGTAAAATATAAAGCGGTTGAAAGTATAAGAACAAGAACATGGTTCACAAGTGAATAGACAAACTTGAGATGCACACTGGGATCGAAGCTTGTCGAGCTCATCCTCAAGGGTTAACACCTGAAAACTCGAATGATCAGACACGTGTGCAAATAAATCTTAGATGCTAATATAATGCACAATTGGTCAACTATGCTGACAATACAGGAATATAGCAACCTTTGCAAGAAGATCCTCCTTCTGTTTTGCATATCTCTTCTTAAGATCTTCTACAATGAACTCATAATCAGCCACGGTTCTCTCAGCATATTCCTTAGATTTAGTCACTTCGCTCTAAATACAAATTTAAAGGGTATATTTATCTCTAAAATGTTGTCTAAAATAGTAGGAAACAGATCCTCGTCATGGTTATGCTATTAGGGGTATTTCTCTTGCTCGCATATAATTCAATCGCTTTAATTTTTGGCGTACCTGTACGAGGTTCGCTATGCAATTATTTTAGTCATAACTTACCAATTTCCTATTAGCTTCTAGAATTTCGGAGTCCTGACTGGTGGATTTTGTTCTATATTTTTCTAATTCAACAGACAGCGATCGTAACTGCTCAAGAACCATAGACTTTTCTTCTTCCAAGGCAATCAAATTTTTCTTGAGCTGCTCAGTCTCGTGTGAAGAAATAGAAGTTTTACGAAGAGCCATATCGTACACTCTGTTCTCATTAATTAAGAAAGAAATGCTGGAATAAAAGACATTAAAAACCAGATTTAAGCTAAGGTGAAGCTCAAAAAGGTTTTTCACGAACTCAGAATCATTTAGATTGTACTTTCTATCTGTCGAAAAAACTGGAGATTGCCTAGTAGATAGATGCAAAGGAGCTAAAGTAGAGGAAGATGATGCGCTGCTATCCCTTTTCGATAGACAAGCAATCGGTGAAAGTGATCTCTTCAAGCCTGAATACAACAAACGTTAGTTAATATACCAATTTTTGAAAGCGTGGAATTTTAATCTTTATGTCCTAACAGTAAGTTTGAACTAAGACCACTACTACGCCACAGAAGCAATGACCATAAGCACTGGGTAATTAAACGCAACTAAATCGTAATACATCAAAACCATTAATTCTACAACGTGAATTGAATTCCACTCCAACGCGTCCATTCCACATAAATGTGCCTGCCAATTCTCAAAAAATTCTCAGCTTATACCGGACCTCATCAATTGAAATAAAAACCACCACAATATAAAGAACCTATTAAACATCCTCCTATTCCGTCACGATACGGAAAGCAGCACCGAATCCCAGATGCAGATTACCGTATGCCGGAGGTTAATAAAAGATGCAGTAATCAGAATGCCCATTATAAGACGCATGTACGCTCCCCTTTTATCTAATAAGATCTGAACTTTCGTCAGAACCATGTAATGGACAAATAGTTTTTACGTTATCGGTTAGCAAAATGTAGCCATGGCTAATTACAAATAATTGCGTCACTTCTAGAAACAGAAACAGACCAACAACTGCATCTTATTCCACAATATCGACAACTTTTATCCACGGTCACTTCAGCGTTACCGCATGACCTCGAAACTTCACTATATTCTTCTGAAAACTAAGTTCGTGTATCCTAGCTGCTTTTATTCGCAGGAAAGCGGCGCCACGTCATTGGCCATTCACGAAAACGTGATGAATTAGAAATTATTGCTTATTCCATGACACTTGGTAATGTGCACTTCTACTTGCCTGGTAACGCGAATAACGTTGATATTTTCCTCACCTTTCAAATCACTTTTACTCACTTAAGTGAAGGACAAACCTGATTGCCGCTCGGTTAGCGATGGAAGGTTTATCCCTAACACTGAGTTATCATCCATGAGTGATGAGCTAAATGATGCCTGCAAAGTAATCCAACTACGACGTCATAAAAGTTGCAAACTTAATAAAGTCAGAAGAAATAATGACAAAATAGAAGCACGGAAAAGTGCGTTTTAGTTGCATCAACCATGCAACTTCTAGTTCTTCCATTTGCTTAGCAAGATTAACGCCTTGTGAGTGTTAGACCAAATCTAGCAATAAACATCTTCTAATATCTGTCACTTTCTCTCAGTTCTTAAATGTTCCTACGTTGCAATGTGTATTACAACAACAATAATTCTAATTTGTTCATAGGCGAGAGAGATGTAGCTCAGCGGTTAGTGATGCCATCGATCAGGAAGCAAGGGCACCAGTTGGCCTCCTCAAAAAGACTCTCCTCCGATCCCCGTAGGAGCGCCTTAGCTCTGGTATCTAAGCGGAACAACACGAAATGTTCGAAGATCAGTGAGTCAGAGAGATGAGTGCGATGAATACGAGGAAAACGAATAGAATGCTAGAAGTGCACGCATCTGCATAGATCTGATGATGGATCATGTAAAACATTTTGAATAGCACTAATCGAATTTCGAGTCGGTCTGTTGTTTCCGTTGTTAGAATAACAATATCATTATTGATAATAAAAATAATACTGGTGTTAGTAATAGCAACAGTTGCTTTTGTAGACCTTCCCAATGGTTTACCGCCTCATCGTGGCGGGGAGGTATTTCTTGGTGGTGGGGTGCGATGTACAGCGGGGAGATTCATCCCTCAAGTCTCCTAAGCTGAGGAGTCCGGGGTTTCCATCAAGGAGCCCTGGTAAAAGCAAACTAATAACAAAAATCACCATCGTCCTGGTATTAAACTAGTCGCATGGTGGCAAATCTCCTTGTGATCCACAAGGGGGCGACTGCCTGTGGTGGTGACGACCAGGTGCAGGCTTTGACTAGGTTGACTACGGAACTCAAGGAAACCACATTGACTAAACCAGAAAGACAACCACAACGTTGCTGAGATATTTGCAAAACTCTGGACCGCAGGTGTCTATGGTGGGGAATGAACACGCTATTGTCCTTTCCGGGGAGTAACGCGTTCACCACCACACCATGCGGGTCCTTCGTTTCGCCTGTCTCTCAGATATTTCTATCGATAAGGTATTTATAAAAGGTATAAAAGGTATAAGGTATATATAGAAATAAAAAGGTATAACATTGTGATTTCAACTACAGCCGCAGTTTAACTGGGTTCTATGCCGATTTGGGCGCCCCAGATCAATCCCGCTGACGGGTGATTGCTGTGGCAAAGATCGATAGAAATAGATGAGAGACAGGCGAAACGAAGGACCCGCATGGTGTGGTGGTGAACGCGTTACTCCCCGGAAAGCACAATAGCGCGTTCGTTCCCCACCATAGACACCTGCGGTCCAAAGTTTTGCAAATATCTCAGCAACGTTGCGGTTGTATTTCGCTTAATACCCTGCCGCGAAATTATACTAGCAGAAAATAAAAAGGTATAACATTGTAAACCAGAAAGACTCTGAAAAACGTTATTTGTGCTGAGGACAGCACAACTAATAAAGACGGTCCATCCAAGTATCCAAGTTCTTGTAGCCAGAGCAATGAACTACTTCATTACCGTCGCTCATAAGACTTCCCAACAATTCAAAAAGACAACTAGACCGACCCTTAAATTCCTGAAGTCCAAGTTTGACATAAAATTGAACTGAGATAAAGGATAAAGTTGTCGGCGTTGATCAATCCTGGGGATGCACAATGCGTTCGATTTCATCGTTGGAGGTGATTGAAGGCAAATCTGGCCTTTACAATGAATCGCGGTGGCCTACCGATGTATCGAGCTAGCGTTGCTATCCCCCAGACAGTCCTGGTACCAATTTGCCGACCCCAGAGAGATGGAAGGTTTGGTGGGCAACGGACGCAGGGATCGGTGCCACATGTGTGTTGCAAGGCGCTTCCGACCACTGCGCTATATTCGCCCCTGATCGATGTGAGGTGTTGCATGACATGCACAGAAACAAAGGATAGTTCCTATAGATGCGATGCAGACTGTGGACGAGGACAGGAAAATGGTTATTATGGCCGTTCTAACGATTCTGTGGTAGGATACGATAAAGCAGCATATTCTACAGCTCAAGATTAAGAATATCAACTCTTGGCAATGTCTACCGTCACAAAACAACACTAATAATATACGTCTCCACTCAGTTTAAATGTGCATGTTAAACAATGAGATCACCAACCGCCTCGGATTTTTCAGGGCCTTCATGTACGTTGCAAGTGATCGTCTCATTAATTGCATCGTCGAGTTCCTCACACCCTGCCGCTTGAGTCAAATCCTCCCCATAAACTCTCGACTTTACGGTAGTTTCTTCGAGATTACCGTAAACAGAATCCCAGTGGTTGCCTCTCTCCTAAACACAATAACGAGTCGTTCAACTAGTAATAAAGGATAAAGCACTCGGCGTTGATCAATCCCAAGGGATGCGCCAGCACTCGACTTCATTAAGCATCGTTGGAGGTGACTGAATGCATATCTGGTCTTTACAATTACACCCGGTGGCCTACCGATGTGCCGAGCCAGTGCTGTTATTCTCGTAGACAGGTCTGGTACCAATTTGCCGACCCCGGAGGTAAGGAAGGCTTGGTGAGCCACGTGCACCGAGATCGATCCCATTTGTATTGCAAGGCGCCAACGACAAATGCGCTACATGCACCCTAATCCAAATAAGCCTAAAAACATGTTACCAACCTTACTGAAGTCTTTATTTTCAAGTTTCCAACAAGTAGTCGTTTTAGTTATTGTATCGTCGAATTCCCCACACGCCATCGTTTGAGTCAAATCTTCCCCACAAACTGTCGACTCGACAGCAGTTTCTTCAAGATTACCATCAACAGGACCATAGTAGTTGCCTCTCTCCTGAATACAAGGTGTAATCCAAATAGCTCTAATAACATGGCACCAACCTTATCGAATTCACTGCGCTCAAGTTGTAGAGAAGAAATCGTTTTATTAATAGTATCGTCGAGGTCCTGACAACCCGTCGTTTGCGTCAAATCTTCCTTAAAAACTGTCGACTCGACAGCAGTTTCTTCAAGATTACCATCAACAGGATCATTGTGGTTGCCTTTCTCCTGAATACAAGGTGTAATCCAAATACCTCGAGTAATATGGCACCAACCTTATTAAATTCATTGCTTGCAGGTCTCATACAAGTAGTCGTCTCGTTAATTGTACCATCTGCTTCCTCGCATCCTATCGTTTGAGTAAAATCTTCCTCACTAACTATCGACTCGACAGCAGTTTCTTCAAGATTACCATCAAGAGGACCATAGCAGTTTCCTCTCTCCTGAATACAAGGTGTAATCCAAATAGCTCTAATAACATGGCACCAACCTTATCGAATTCACTGCACTCAAGTTGTAGAGAAGAAATCGTTTTATTAATGGCATCGTCGAGTTCCTCATAACCCATCGTTTGAGTCAAATCTTCCTCACTAACTGTCGACTCGACAGCAGTTTCTTCAAGATTACCGTCAACAACACCGCAGAAGCCGCTTTTCTTCTAAACAAATGGACGAATAGTCTAGATACGTCTAACAATATGGCACCAACCTTATTAAATTGACCGCCTTCAAATTTTGTAGAAAAGATCGTTTTATAAGTGGCATAATTCAGTTCCTCAAAAAACGTTGCTTGTGTCAAATCTTGCTCGTAAACTGTTGACTCTACACGAGTTCCTTCAAGATTACTATCAGGAACTACACTGCAGCTGCTGTTCTCCTGAACACAAAAATGACCTACTTACATAAGTCCAACAGCATGAAATACAAGCACAAATATGTTGAGATATAAGCAAAATTCGCGACCGCAGATTGGGTTCGAACCTGCGCTTATGACTACTTGGAGGACCACGTACTATCCACTACACCAACCGAGGTCCTTGCTTTGCCATTCCCTCAGCCACTTTTCTGCTTCATCGATGCTATCTGTGATCATCCATCAGTGGAAAGAAGAACAGTAAAAAAGAAACACTAAAAATATGACTGAGAAGAAGGAAAGCAAAGGCTTGGTTCGCATTATGTAGAGCGTGTGAGCCCCGGTAAGGGTAATTGCGGATTTGAAGCCCAACTAAGGTTTCAAGCTTTCCTCATACCTCAGCAACCCTGTGATTATATTTCACTTCATATCTCGCCATGAAAAAGAATAAGAAATGAAAAGAAGTTAACGATTTCATACAAAATAGCTCGGCGCAAGAGCACAGACCTCTCGAATTGTGTCCTTGTGCATATCTGTTTGTTGTAACAATGACTCTTCGATATTCGAATCCACGTGTCTTGTGGCCTCGATAGAAGCCGAGTCATCTGCAAGAAATGAACCTGAAATCAGTTAAAGCAGGCAAATAGGGAAACAACTGAAATTCTAGAAAACCAACAACCGAAAGTTTCATCCGATTGCTGCTCCATACTAGACATGTCATCCATTCTAAGTGTAGCATCGATGTTCTGATCACCAGTTTCATAAAGAGGTCTGACCTTTAAGTAAATAACAACACAAAGTGGAATTAAAACAGATGGAACAGGATAAACTAAACAAGATGATAAATCTCTTGCCGTAGATAAATCCTAGAGCGATGCATTACGCATTCGATTCCATTAAGCATCGTTTCGCAGTGATTGAATGCATAACTGGCCTTTACAGTGACTCGCGCTGGTCTACCGTATCACGCCTGTGCTGCTATCCCCCCAGACAGGTTTGGTACCTATTTGCCGACCCGGAGGAATGGATGACTTGGTGAGCCTGGGGCGCGGGGACCGATTCCATGGTGCATTACAAGGTGCCTCCGACCACTGTGCCACACGCGCCCGTGGGTGGAATAAGAATGAACTATATAGCCAAATACTCACTGAACTGCAATTCACGGATAGAATCGTGCAGCGAAAAGAAAGTTTAAGAAAAAGAACTATTAGAAGAACTCAAACCAGCTCCTTACCTTTTTCTGAAGTGGACGAACACTAGGTGAGGCAGCTGAAAATGGACTAGCCAAAGACGGCCTTTTCTTAACCTGGAAAGTAAAAACTTGAACTGAAGAAATGAGTAGATTGAACGTCAGATTTACCCACGTTGTTCGTTCCGGGCGTTTTTGGGTTCTGATTTTCCTTAAGCGGTTCCATTTCGTTCGGTCTGAAATTAGCTCACACTAACAGCCTTGGACTAGAAAGGATGTTCACAAAAGCACATCGTGCAACATTCACTTCCAACAACGTGTTTTGTGTGGAAACAATAGCCGAAGTTAACCTCGAACCAACAGATCTTAGCTCACAGTGTACTTTATTAAGGGGAATGAGAATCCATGAAACCTCCGATCATTTCCTGAAGGATACAAGTTCTCTCACACTGCAAGATGAAGTCCTATTATTGTGGGGTCTACGACACTTGGGCTTAGCTTTTCGAAAAATACAACACTATTACATCCATAGAAATTATGTACAGTATTAAGGTGACAGATCAAAATTTCTTCTGTAAAACTGTAAGGTTCCAAAATCTCCAAATACTCTAAAAATCGAGAAACTATCGTTACTTAAGAAAAAACCAGCTCCGTAATTAAAACGTCCACGTGGGATTCCAAAATTCTTTCTAACGAACGGGACATCTGAAATCGACGGCAGATAGTGAACGGATCGATAAACGGACATGAAGAGATGCCCCTTAAGAAAAACAAGATCCTAATTCGACGAAAACAGCCAGAAACAAAGGGATACCACTGCCTCAGGCAAAGCACAACCTGTTGTTAACTAACTAAGAGTGCGGCTTGCTTAGGAAGGCGTCTTAAATGAAACATAAATGGCGCTGGGTGAAGTTTACGTCCGATAATTTCGCGCGCTTTTCAATGGTGGATTGGAGCGTGGCAATTCTTTGGTTATTAAGAGGGTTGTTGTCGTATTATGTCAGCTAGGATTGACAAACGAGTTCAGGATAGCGACGTGTAAGAACTATTTACGGAGCTGAACACAAAGGATTTCAGAAATGGCTGTTTGGAGTGCAGATACTTGACCACAGCTCGCTTCGGGCATTTTTCAAAGCTTTTTTCACTCACTACACCTTATTTCTTGCAATTTAGTAAACTCAGATGCTGTGATTCCACAATATTATACGACTAATACGATCTTTTCCTTTGTGGTTTGCCATCTCTTCGTAGCTTTTAAGTGTTCCTGGGTGTGGAACAGGTCTATACGTCTCCAGTCATCCATCCAGGAAGATTAGCCCGGTTGAAGAATTCAACATTTCCGTGCAAAAGTCCAGCTAGCGAAGAGTAAATCAATGTCAAGAATCGCAATCACCCTAAGTAGCCAAATCTAACTACAAAGTGGCAACTTTCTCTTTGTTCAGCGAAAGCCGGAGGTTTTCGGTGATGACGACTTTTCATGATCCGGAACAGCTCTACAGAGACACTAGGGAAAAGCCGAAGTGAAGCCATCAACCTAACATTTAAATGGGGTACTTACTAGTCGCTCTCAATTACGGACTATCTAACAAACTAGACACCCACGTTTTAAGAGGTGAAACTTAATATTAGCAGAAACAAGCTATCAGTAGCTTTGTAGTTCCGTACGCGGGACTCCACTTTGACGCTTCACATATCGTAGGATTTTCTGTTTATACATAAATGAAGCGGATCTTATAGTTATGAGTCTTACAAAAGCAAAAAAAGCGAGAAACAAGCTTTAAATTTTTTCCTTGTACCATTTTGGAGCATGTCTACTACTCTGTGATCTAGCATGTGATATGTTCGTTCGCTACTAGTTTGCTTTGATTGGGTTGTGAAGGAACAATTAAACTAAGGACTTCAAGAAAAGTAGCACGATTTTAGCCCTTAATACAAAGCCAACTATGAGAGCCCGGAGAATACGCATTCAATCACCTCCAAACGATGCTTAATGAAGGATCCATGACGCATCCCTAAGCGATAGATAAACGCCGAGAGCTCTATTTTACCATTTTATTAGCACCAAACCTAGATGAAACGCCATGGTCTAAATTCGAAGGGTCACTTAGACGTAGTCCAGGAAAGTGTTTGGGAACGAGTTATCTGCAGGTGGTTCAAAAAGTTTCGTGATGAAGAGTTGAGCATATATGACGCAGAAAGTCGTGGACTTCAGCGGTTGTGCGACCCAACAACACGTTACGAAACGGTGTGGAGGCGGAAGCTGAAGCTGAACCTCCATATAGTTAGTTACTCGAAAAGTTTGCAGAAATAATCAACATCTTAACCGTTTTATTTGCTGCCTACTCTTTTCAATGGTAGGGCATATTGCGAAAAATAACTTCAATGATGCTGAGACATTTGCAAAACTCCGAACCACAGGTGTCATCTCCCGCTAATGGGTGACTGCTGATGGCAGAGATCGATAGAACTAGCTGAGAGACAGGCGAAACGAAGGACCCGCATGGTGTGGTGGTGAACGCGTTACTCACCGGAAAGGACCATAGCGTGTTCGTTCCTCACCGCAGACACCTGCGGTCCGGAGTTCTGCAAATATCTCAGCATCATTGAAATATCAGCGTTAGCCACTCATAATTGTCTCTGATTTGAAAGAAAGTGGAAAACTAGGAAAGCTCGATAAATAAGTGTAACTGCACAAACGAACCAATAGCAGAAAGATCATCGATATGAGGTTTGCCTTGCATTAATATTCAGTGTAATAGTCAGACCGAAATGAAGCTCCTTCATTATTTCCAAAGCTCATTTGGTACCAAAACAATGTATGTGGTGATTTCTTGATGATGTTGAACGCACTTCATCAACCACAATACTCCGGTTCCTCGCGAAAATTCACAGCAGAGAGTAGATATTTCTCCTTCTGTGTGTTGAACGCACGTTTCGGTGACTACGCCCTCGTCACAGCCTCGACGTATCATATGTTACAGTAGCCTCTCAATTCGGTGAACTGTATAGGATAAATGGTGATCCAGGATTTGAAAGGCCGCTAATTTTCAAAACCACCCACCGTGCCGTTAGACCAGCTGTGTGTTGTTTACGATGGATCATAAATAAGACGTACCCATGGCGATGTACACCAATAAATCATCTTGAGATAAGGTGACATATCAAGTGTGATAGTGATGAATTCGTCTTTCCTGTTCATCTTCATTCTTTTGAAATTTATCCAAAACACTGCAGGAGCCTTACACGTTGGCGTTTTTATTCCTGCGCTAGGGCCCCAACATTCACTTCAAAATCGTTACAGTTGTGGTTTTGTGCCCTGTGTGTACGCAAAGGATTAGTTTGTCGAATTTTAGCTTTTCCATTCAGGTGTTCTTTTATGTGGACACTAAGTGGGCTGCTCGTTTCCTCTACGTGTTCCTCACTACATGTCTTACATTTTTCTGAGCTGCACAAACGATCATAGAAGCGGTTGCGAGCTAGCTGATGGGGTAGAGTATTGAGTGGGAGATCAATAACTGGCACATAACAATCGCTTCTTCTAAGGCACCTCTTTATGGCGCAACATAATTGGTTTGGTACGAAGGGTAGCTTGAAAGAATTCTTCTTTAGGTTTTAAATAGTATTATTTTCGTGAACAACCCTACCTTTTCGGTTGATCTGAGTTGCTTCCGTTTCGTAGCCATTGGAAATGGCTATTTTTCGTGACAAGTTTAACGATTCTTTCCTTTCCTCTTCTCCTGCACACATCTTTAGCCGTTCGGCACATGTTTTTGATGAGTGCTTTTTCATTTGTGAAGGAGTGGTAGTGGACTAGTATATTTTTACTACTTGGCTTACGATACCACTTTGCTATATAGCCGCTTCCTGAAAGCTTTATTTGGATGTTTAAGAATGGAAGCCAGTGATCGGTTGCTTTGTCCCGCGCAAATTTAATATGCAGTGCATCTCCGTTTAACAATTCAAAAGATTCGCCCATCTGTTCTTGTCAAGAACAGACGGTCGTTTATATATCGACAGCAGAGTACGGGTCGGCGATCGAGAACTGCGACTTCAACCCTATACATAAAAGCGACGACAAGGCTTGGGGCTAATCGCTGTCCCATAGCCAACCCTCTAATTTGTTCAACATATCTTCCCGACCATCTAAAGATTGAACAACCAAGACACTGTTTTCGGAGAATCATTAGTTGTTGTATCGACAATTCATATGTGTTTATGCTCGTTTCATGTTCTACGAGTAGCTCAAGAGTGGTTTGCACTGTGGGGTCATTCGACACACTATGAATTGAGGTAACATCGAATGACTCTACTACGTAGGTGCTGCTTGGTTGCGAGCACCGTAGGTATCTAGGAATGTTTTGGTTTTGGGCAGATGAGTTTGTATGAATTTCAGTAAGTGAATCAGGATACGGCTTATGAACAATGCAATTCTTTCCGAAAGCGAAAAAGTAGGGAAAATTTCGATATTTGGTTGCCTTTCCTTTACAAAGCTCGGGAAAAAAACTGGTGGTAGCTTCCCTCTTTGCCTTTCGATATCTAACCTTTCTAGCCTAACCTTATCACGCAGTTGATCTTGAAGTTCATATAGACCGAACGTGATCCTGGGCAGGATTGTTTTAGAAAAGGATTGACTAGGAGAAAAACTCAGAGCCAATTCTAACAGTGAACGCGCACTTTCCGGAGGTGCTATGCCTTCTAACACAGTAACTCTGGAAGATTTTGGTAAGCACTTCATCTCAGAGCTATTACTTACAACGATAACAACGGTGGTGTTTTGTTTCTGGTCGTTTTTCGACGTGATAGATCTTGGAAGATTTTTTTCTTTAACTTGTTTTTAATATCACACCGAATTCTGTAACAAATAGATATGGACCCAGGTACTATTCTATTCCAAAGATTCTTCAAATACTGAGCGCAGTGGTTTTCTTCTCACACACACTTGTTTAGTTGAGAAAACATTTCGTTCGTCAACCAACCGTCTTTTCGAACATCATGGCAACTACTTCCAAGAGGAAAAGTATCGCTCCATAGTTTCCATTCAAAATGCCTTTACCCTTCACTAACATAATAGTGTTGGCTAACACCACATTCTGTAAGATCAACGTAACGGATACTTATACACATGCCGTCCCAGGTAGCTTCACCGCAACTTTCACTTCAGAAGTGTGCGTTTGTCTTCCGCAGACGGATTCTTTTCTCGTTTGGAGACCAGCATTCGCTTTAAAG